AGGAATGCCATCAAAGGATTGTTCAGAAAGAGCGTGAAGAGGCTGCCCCGCTGAGACTGGTCTAAAAAAAATAAGAACATAAAACCAGATCAATAGACAGAGAGATACATTTGGTGTGTGAAGCAGCAAAGCTGTCCCTGCCTCACAGTGAAGGAACAGAGGAGCTGCTCCTTGGTGTTAGCTGTGTCTTCTCTCCTCCTGAGCAGATCTGTTCTCAACGTGAAGCAACAACTAGCAGTAGAGGCTTACTGGAGATGTGCAGGAACACCAAGAGAAACCACATTTTCTCATGAATTGTGGGAGGCCTATGTCTTCATTTTTTAACATATAACTCAACCACAACAGTCATAACTGAGACAACCAATAGGAGATCCTGATTATAAATCCTACAGAGAAGTATTAAACATGGACATTCTTATTCCATTCAAAAAGCCAGGCAGTTGAACCTCTGCCCCAATCAAATCTACATAGTTGCCCTTCTGGACACTGCAATATCCTGGAGCCTGTTTACTCCATGCAACTTGCCATGATACAGAGGTCCAAGCTCTGGACTTGTCTTTGTGATGGACAGCAAGCTTAACATGGCAAATCACCATGACAGAGTCTGGAATGATTTATGTTTCACAGTAGTCACAAGGACTGAAGAAGGTAACGTTTCATTGCCTGTTCCTACTATGAACACACCCTCTCAGGGCACACAAAGCCAGTGGTTTTCGTTAATATTTTGGTCTACACCTGGCATTTAAAACCTTAACTAACTCTGCTCCCTTTTTCAGACTAATAAAGCAACCCAAAGTGCTGATCATCCCAATCACCATCCCAGCACTGGGCTGGCAATTTTCTGAGTCTCCATGTAGGAAGACTTTGCCTCCTGGCACTTAATGAAGTATCCATAGAAATATCATCATTGTTAGAATAAATTGTTTGCCCTAAACAGTAACTAAACTCTATCACACTACTTCACAAAACATTAATCTGATTCAGGGATGATGTAGCAATAAAAAACTCTCTTTTCCTGAAGAATAAGTTATATTTGTTTGGCATAGATGTATGATGCAAGTGCAGCCTGTGAGGAGAGGCAGCACTACACGTACCTTGCAAAGCTTTTGGATATGCTGTTGGAGAAAGCAAGCACACCAAGGGTTGTCCAAATAAGTTTGTGAAATTCTGTAACAGATAAGAATTTGGAAGCATTGATGGTCACTTTCCTTGCTCTTGAATCTTCAGCAGTTTAAGGGTACAAACAAAGACAGTTAGTGACAGAACACACTAATGCCCTTCACACAGCTCAGCACTGACCTACAGATACATCCTGGCACAGGACTCATTTCCCTGCCACTGCAGCAGACACTCATTTAATGGGAATCTGGCTGTCAGTTGTAATATGTTCCTTGAAAAAAATCACCTTCTGCAATCAGAAAGAAGGCCACTGGCTTTCAAGTCAAGACAGATCTTGTGTCTTTCCTCAGTACCAGCTGAACTATCCTTATTTCCCCATGTCTTTCTAGCAGGAGAAACTGTTTCTGAAGAAACAGAAGAACCCAGGGGAGAAAAGTTTTAAAGTAAGTTTTTTTTAAAGCAAGTATGTCATAATCTTAACATCTGCTATACTGAACCCTCACTTGCAACACCCATTTCATGAGCCCTTCCACCAGCACCTTAAATATTGCCTCAGGGCTCTGTTGCACAAGAATTTCTCCAGAAACTCAAACGATGCCTTTGTCCAGTTTCACCAACATCCACCTGGTACCACTCCTACCATGTGTTTATCTGGTAGGTATTCTGACTGGTAATAATTATCACCAAGGAAAAGCAATCACTTACACAACCTCATTAGCTGTCACAGGTTCCACCAAAACAGCTTCCTTAAAACTTCAGGCTTGGAAAGCCATAGAAAATGTAAATTATCATGTCTGCATCCTATCAGAGCTCACATGCAAACCAGCAGCCAAAGCAAAAATGCAACGCACATTTCCATAAACTAGATACTTAAAATTGTTACAAATGTAAGGCATACATCACCAGAAGCATTTGCTTGTCTAGAATCATCAAAAAGGTCAGTTTTTAATTCCTTCTGGGTTCTGCTTAATTCAACATGGAACATTCCCTTCTGGGCAGTATACTTCAACTAAATTAGTTTCACTTAATTAATTTAATCTAAGTCTGCTGAATACTAAAGACAGTAATCTAGCCTAATCAGAATAAAACCTTCTCCTCTCTAACATAGTGCTGACTAGTCCTAAAACCCCTTTGATTTCATTAGCAGCCCAAGGGTGCTTTATACAGCTAAGACTTGGTCTCTAACGAAGACACAAAGACTCTGACCATGACAAGAGCAACTGCAGGTCAGCCCAGTCATTAGTAAAATTGTACAATAAAGAAACATTTACAGCTCCAGGAGGAGCCACCCAGACACTGCCAGTTTGGACTGAATACACATCACCAGGTTGCATGTTCTAATGTAACATGTGCTTAGCTGTGGCCAGCAGATTCCCAGCTGGAATTCTATCTTCCAGCACCTGGACACCAGCGCAGGCTTTCCATGCTCTCCATCAGTAAAAACAACACTGCAATTACAGGCCTCCTAGAGCTATCAAGAAGAGCCAAGTGTCACTCATACCTCAGGAAAGGTATTACTCACTGATAGTATCTGGGATCATTTTGGACTCTGTCCCAGCAGAGGTTAAGTCAACATAGCCAGCAAGTCCTGCAAGGGGGAGAAACTACAGTTTCACACCAAATGTGCTCTTTGGGAGACAGCTGCTCGTGCCAGTCACTGCATCTGAACTACAGATCCAGGAGAATAAGGCTGTCAAGCTTCCAGGTGCTGTCTCAGCTCTTGCCCAGGCACAGCTGCCTGCCAAGCCCAAGTGAACAGGACTCCCTCACCAGCCACCTCTGCTCCCCAGTCCCGCAGGGAAGTGCTGTGTGTGCACAGGAGCACGTCACAGCCCTGGAGCTGAGCACCACAAGCTCAACCCTGCAGCCTGCACGTTGGTAGCAGCTCTGAATAAGGAACTGCCCACCTTTCAATGCATGGACAACCCCAGAAAGGTTAGAACATGTTATTGTTTCAGAATGGTTCCTTTTTTTCCCTTCAGTATTAAAGTTTTCCAGCAGAAGCACTGCTGCTTTTTAAAATGGGCCTCATATACATCCCTCTCTGAAAAGGAACTACTCGTCATCTCCAAAGGAATCACTTCCCATGTAAGCTTCACTGAGCTGAGAATTACCACCACCTCACCAACAAAGGCTGTGCATTCTTACTGGCCAGAGTTCTTGGTTTGGTTTTTTTTGACCACCATCTTAAGACAACCACAGCTAGAAGAAGATACTGATTTTAAAGTATTATTTCATCAACATATCCAGTGTTAACCTTCAAGAACACAGCCATCTATATTTAAATGGAAGTGTTAAAAAGAATTCATGGCTTTAAGTAGATCTGCTCGGTTTGCAGTTATCTTCCACTTCCAGCTAAACACTCAGCGGAGGAAGCTGCTCAAGTGCTGCTGATTTGACAAACTGGCAAGCTGCTTCCTGGCATCACCATTCAGTCATCACCATTTAAGCCCTCCAGAGAGGGGGAGAGGAGGAGAAGAGAGGGAGAGAGCAGAAATGGGCTGCAGAAAAGATGTGTGAGCAGTTGCTGTTACTGCCAGTACTGGTAGCAGTGACATTTAAATGTCAGGACAGTTCCTGTCCTACCAGGAAGGATCAGGGTGTGTGAAGCAGCCTGTGCACCCACTGCAACTTCTTACACAACTGCACAGAACCTCTTTGTTCTGAGGAGTCTCACACACACGCAGTGACAGTCACAGGACAGCCCTGTCCCTGAGCCCTGGTGACAGGAACCAAGTGTGGCAGCAGAGCGAGGACAGCCAGGAAGGTACCAGGGCTGGAGAACAGGGAGACTGAGAGCTCTGCCATCTACCTCCAGCTGAAAATAAAACACCTAAACACTTCCCCACATCTGTCTGCCTGGGTTCAATCTGCTTCACAACAGGTTGTGAAGAGGAATGTGAGTTTTCAAAGGCTCAATATGTTTTAAAATAGGGTCCTTCCTTTTTTTCTTCATCCTCCTTTTCAATTCTTCACAATTGTGTCCACATGATTCTGATCTGGGTCAGAGCTGCTAACAGCCACTTCCATAATCCTGTCCAGAAATGCTTCCAAAACTCTCATTTCTGTACTCCCTACATGCAAGCAGAGTTAGCCATCCCTCACACAAGCTGCCCTGTAAACTTAGCAGATGGAGCACGGGGGTATTTTACACTACTGATGGTCACTGCAGAACAAGGAAAAGAAACTGAAGGTTACAGCTTTTGCTTGCTGTATGCCCATAAAAACTGAAGAAAATTCTATTATAAAATGTAAATGTAGTACAAAAGGTGAATTCTACTGTAAACACTTGACAGTTATTCTCACAAGAGCTGCAAATCCAGACGTGGGAATCCATCACCATCCTTTGCTCTAAGCAGTCCACAGAACCCCAATATGTCCAGAGCTACATTTGAATTAAGGATCACCAGGAATCCCTCACTCTTTCTTACAAAGCTGATCCACTTCGTATCTTTCATCAGTTCTGCTAGAGAGGAAGGGAGCAAAAAACCCAAAACAAACAAACAAACAAAAAACAAGCCTAATTTTTTGCCCTGAAGCAAAACCACACACCCCTGTTGTTACACTGGAATGTAAAATAACTCCCTACCAAAGTCTCATTTTCTCAGAAAGACAAGTAAATCATTCTAATTGCATTTCCATCCCTGTAAATGGGCAAGGGAATTTAATAAAAAGCAGATTTGCACTGAAATCTAGTGTGGTGAAGCTAAATGCATTAGTATCTAAAAAACCCCTTTGAAATGCATTACAGTACAACAAACCAAAACCCTACAGAGAGGCCAATCATGATTCAGACTGCCAGGTAACAGAGCCCTGGCTCAATACAGAGCTACCTCAAATCACACTGAGGACTGATTTAGCTCCTCTCGTTGGCCAACAAATGTCTTTAAAACAAATGACACAGACTATGGATGCTGAACATGAACAACTTCGTCTGGCCACTAGACGTCCCTGTCAGTCCTCTGGAATGCAGCTGTGAATGTTCCCTTTTCTCCCTGCACAGAATGGAGCTATAAAAAGGCAGATATAAGGAAGTGGCACTTTCCCCAGATATAGCACATTCTTAATATCCCATTCATGAATGCAATGAATGCTGTAATGCTACCCAGATGCAACTGAGACTGAGAATGCCTGCTTCTGTGTTACCCGAACTGCAGGTTCCCAAAGGTGATCTGGCATGGGGTGATTCTGTGGTAAATCCACAGCCCCCTGGGAAGGAGGCTCATTGTCCAAGCATATACCACTCTACAGTAACACTGGATGCAAATTTGAGTCTTGTTATTTTCTTGGTTCAGACACTTTTCAGACACTTCAGACACAGACACCCTGTGTTTTATAAGATCAGGCTCAATGCTTTGACTCCTTCTGTTGCTTAAAAGCAACTGAGTGTTGGATGACTGGAAAAAAAAGAGGCAGATTAGTTATCTCCCTCCCCCACACACACACACCAAGATTTGTCTTTGGTATATAACAAAAATAAACCTCCCACCAGAGACCTTGGAAATCTTGAACCTTTTTTCCCTCCAGGAGGATTTATTACTTTCCAATGAGCGGCAGTTCATGTGCTTCTCCTTCTTGTTCCTATTCATAGGATCAGATCCTGACTAGCATGCACAACCTCAAAAGAAAAGAAAGACTGAATACAAACTGTTTAAAAAAAATGGCCTGTTAAAAGTGTAAGCTAACTAGGGGTTGACACTGCATCCTACCATACAAGAAGATGCCTTCAAGAGCCTTACCTTATAGGCAACACTGTTTGAAGAGTCCACAATGATAAACAGGGGCTTTCTTGTGAAAGGGTAGAGATCTCCAGGGTGAAGACTGTAAAGAGAAAGGGATGCTTCACAGAGCACTAGAAGTGCTGCAAAGCTGTGACAGTGAACAAGCTCCTCAGACACACAGCTGCCCTGTCCAGGTAACAACCAAGGAGATGCCCCACGTCCCAGTCCTCAGTATCACCCTCAGCAAGTAAGTGCAGAACTCATTTGCTATTCCCTACAATATGGGCTATTGGACTTCTTATTAGTTCTTTCCCAACAAGTGATGTTTATCTTGTTTAGAAGTCACCCACCATTAATTTGAAGTTTTGCAGCAATAAAAAAATATGTTAAGTTACAGTAATTTGTTTGAATCATCAAGACGAGTTACACATTCATTTCTAATTGTTCTACTTCAAGCCATGCTACATTATAATGTCCTGCACTGAAGACATTGAATTCAATGTGTCAGCAATTTGACACATTTTTCTTAAAGTGAGAAAGTCCTTTGACTTTGCAGTTGTCACCCCCTGGAACTTACCAGTGCATCTCCTTGTACGCCTGGTTCCGCTTGTGGATGGCGTCCCCGTTGATAATGTCCCGGTTACTGTTTGTCAGGACACCACCAAAATCATATGGACCTGCACGTGGCAGAAAGAAAGCTAAAATCAGCCTAGGCAACTCACCTCTGTCATGGATTTAATTATTATATGGAAGAGGAGAAGCAACAACAAATCCCAGACAACTAAGTGAAGCTGAACCACTCCAGTTGTGAGGAGGGGCCAGGGGAACGTGGAGACTTTGCTGACTACACCTTCTGTTCTGTGCACTGTTAGTAGCTGCAGCATCTATTAAATAGAAGCACACAGTGCAACTTCCTATCTTCTAATTAATTTATTCACTTTTTATCTACAAACATAATAAAAAAAGATCCAAAGATTTGCTCTTGTTACACTACACAGCAAAAAGACTGAGACCCGTCACACATTTCATACAGGAAATTCAATGCCCTTGTAAAATTACTATAGGATTCAGAATTGGATCAATAAATAAGGCGAAATCAATCAAAAAACCCTGTAGCCTCTCAGAATAGATATAACACTATCATCTGCAGTTCTAACACTGCAAAGGGGAGAAGAGAGAGCTCAGAGAATTAATATGCTTTCAAGAGTCAATGCAATAAAAAGAGTTTTAACTAGATTTCACTTCTGCAGCAAAAGTTAACTTTTTTAAAATTCCAAATACAGAATTCAGTTTTTCAATGCACACAGTCTGGACACATGTTCCTAGAGTAAGTTAAAGCAATATTCTGCTAAGTTTGCACAACTGAGCTACCTGCCTAGCTGTCTGATGGAGGGCAAAGAAAAATAATGGCTATAAAAACTATCAAATCCCACACGAAAAAAACATGCTGGACATACCAGGAAATATTCCTGGCATTGAGAGGGGTATGAAACATCACTAACATTAGTAAAATAAAATATCAGGATTCCCTCATTCTGTTACACATTTGCAGAGTTGGTTGACTCATATTTGGCCACCAAACACAGTTAGTTCAGGTTTGGATACATGACACCTTTCCATTTTATCGGAAGCTTTGGGAATACAAAATTAGGAACAGAACACACATTAATTTACACTGTTACAAATGTGAGCTGACAAACACAAATGGCTTCCAGGCCATACACAGTGGAACTTGCAGCTGCTCTCCCTTTTAATAAGGTAGAATTTTTTGGTCTGTGCAGACTAGGCTACCTTATTAAAAGAATGCAGTTGTAATGGGATTAATTTAATGAGAACTGGAGTCTGACTGTGCAGCTCTTCAGATGACAGAGCCTGGATGCATCCACAGCAAGGGGAGGTTGAGACAATGCATGCAGTGAAGTGGACATAACACAGGCTCTAAAGAACACGGTTTAGTTAGAACCTATCACCAAGTTGCAGCAAAAAAAGTAAAATGTTAAAAGCATTTTAAAAAAATCCCTGCCACAATCCAAAGCTGACAGGGATTTTTTTGTCCTTCAACATTTTGAGAGCTCTACAAATCATGCATCAGTATGGACAAGGCATGCATCTTATAAAGGAATGCAAGTCTCAAACAGATGAGGCATGTACAATATTTAGGATGTTTTAAACTTTTTTTTTCCTTAAATCATAGAAACAAATCTTTTGACTGTGTCTACTTCAGCCAACCAGTTTTCAGCTTTTAGATTGCAGCTGCATCCAAATATTCTGCTAGATTACAAAGAACAGGAGGATGAGGTGAGGGGAATTGTCAAAAATCATGAGAAGGGCTTGAATTGTCAGGTTAACAAGCGTGCAAATCGAACAGGCCCTGCAGACACTTCAGCCCTTTCACCGCCCGTCTCCTGACCTACGGCCTCATCGTACTGGAGATTGGAAAGAATCACAAAGTGCCATTGAGCCTTTGATTAACTTTGCACTGATCCATCAACTGAGCCATGTGGTCTTCAAAACTGGTGAAGCTTTTAATGCTTCAGATGCATCAAAAGCTGGAGATGTCCTCTGAAAAGGTCTCGGGCTAACGCACAGTAATTTAAATACATGGAATTAATTACTGTTTGTGGGGAAAAAAGGTATCTTACTAAGTAGACAGGAGAATAAAATTGACTTGTCTTTTAAAAGGAGCTTTGTGACATCTTTCTTGGTCACTCGTCCTGGAACATAAAGAGAATTCAAGCCCTGTTCATGACAGGGAGCATTCCTTTATTGTACCTTCACTATCCGAACGACCTGATGGAAACACGCCCGTGGCAGACAGGTAGATCAGCAGCACACTGTTTGCAGGCAGCTCCTGAAATTCAAACAAAGGAGAGTGGAAGCGAAGAAATGCAGAAGTTTATTTTAATATTCAACCATCACCTTCTTAAATACATTGTAATTTAATTAATATTGTGCTACTCCTGCTTCTGGCTTCCCTTCACTCTCTTCCATGTGTATATGCCCTTCTCTACCACATACACCCCTTCCAATAGAAGGGGCACAGACATTTTTTATCTGTACAGACAAAAATGTGAACCAATTATATTTTCACACTTTCTTCCCCTCACACAGGCCTCTAGGCTGATATTAGAGGTTCAAGCAGCACTAAGAAAGCATCTGCTTCCACACTGACTCTCTTACTATCTAGCCAGACCTGAGGCTTTCCAAGATACAGAAACCAAAGCTGCCAAGATCCAAGCAGACCCTAACTCCCAAACAATTCAGAACCCTAAAGGAAGTTCTTTGTTTCCAAATACCCCAGAGTCTGCAACATCTGCCTCTTCCCCCTGACCCTTCTCAGCTGGACGAGCACAGCACATCCAGGTTCCTCTACAGACCTGTAAAAGAAATCTATTTCCCACCTTTCTAATGGGCTGTCTGCATGAGGAAACACATGCTTCTAATTTCTGCAAGAGGCTGAGCATGCAGGCACCCTAAATTCTAAGTAATAAGGATGCCTTTCCTTCACCTCACCTGCTGTTTCCTTACAGTTGCTTCTTGAAACAAACTGAAATGTGTTTCCTTGTAGGATTCATATTCTGTTTTTACTACTAAATCCTAAGTTGCTGACACAATTTCATTCAGTGCCACATACCATTCTGGATATTCTTCAGTTACAAATAAATTCACCAACTTCACAAACCTTAAATGATGCTGCTAAGAAGGTATATAGCTGGCTAAAGGTTGGTTTATACAGCAGGTATTTGTGGGGGTTTTCACGCCTGGCTGGTTTCTCCGTGGACTCCTGTTAAAACCAAAACACAACACAAAAAACCCAACAACCATATTATTACCAAAGCAGTTTCATAACCCTCTAAATGTCTATTTATTAGAATGTTCATATTCATCATGCTTCTCACACAAATGGTCTGCCCATGCATTTCCTACCACACAGTAAAGCAAAATGCACAGTATTTGAACCCGAACTTTAAATTATCCCTCATTTAAATCTGTTACCTAAATCTTTCTTACTCTCTAAAGCATCACCCAAGAAAGGAGTGGAAAGCTTCACTCCTCATCTCCATTAAATAAATGAGAATCTCTATATATCCTTTTGCCTCCAGATAAAACATGTCTATGCTTTCTCTGAAAAGGATGTTTAACTTTCAGATGACTTGCAAGCTGGTGAACTTATGTGGCTGCATGATTGCTGGAGTGAAGACAAAGGAAGGGGGAGTCTACATGGACAAGGCCAGCCAGGGCTCTCCTTCAGAAGTACCTTGCCTAGACCAACACAAAACAGCTGTGAAATGCTGCCCAAATATTAGTTTCTGCCATTTTTTCACTATTGAAGGTTTGCTAAGGAGAAAAAAGTGGGAAAAAAACCAAATAACCCCCAAAAAATTACTTGGCTGCAACTCCACTGGTTTGAGCTACTCTTCACTAACCTCTAGTAGGAGCTACACCAACTTTACTAACCTGCTCTGCATGGTGACAGTATCACCATTGTACAAGAATACACAATTTAGCACAAAACAGACTAACTACCCAGCTAAGATCTGTTGCTGGGTTTGACACTGAAATGGAACTTACCTGCATCCCAGGCTTGTTCATTTGTGATGCTAAATTCATTGGTTCCCTTTCAAGAGCTTGTAGCATTCGGAACATATCAACTGTTAATTCACTGAACTTGACCTGCAAAGGAGTCAGACAGTTTATTCTGCCAGATAGAGTATAAACAGTATTTCTTTGGAATTATCCAGGTAAGACATCCAATTGCATACCAGACAGACCACTCCTGCCTCTCAGGGGTCTGTCAGTATAATCTTTGAATCTCTAAAGACCTGTGAATTACTTTTATAAGGGCTCACAGAGGACAAAGTCTATTACAAGTCTACCAGGTCAGTTCACTGCAGTGCAGACCCCTACAGACTTTTCTGGGGTGTTTACAAACCAAGTACTGGAACCACTACATGTATCAATTTAGACAAAATCTGAAAAAGAGGCACAGACTGTAGTTTAGAAACAACTGCCTTTCTTACCTGGAAAAGAGCTCAAAGAGAAGTCATGAACAACTTCACTATTATGATCATCTAAAAAACAAGATCTTGAATGTCTTTTGAAAACCCCTCCTGCTGCAACTGAAGCTGTGACAAGCTGGAGCATGTCACCTGAAAGCTCAAGTCAAGCTTCTTCTAGATATACCCCAGAGGCCTCTCCTGCTTCTATGTTAAGAACAATCCAGTGTATGAAAACCAGCTGTAGCTATTTAATGGACATGATGAACACAAGCAGTAAGAGGTCAGTACCACAGGTCTAATATCTAACATTTCATTTTCAGCTCTTATTTCTGAGATGCTCTTCTTGCTGCCACTGCAAATATCACCATCAGATGTTTGCCTCTATTGGAATCTCTGTTGTAGGATCAGAAGGGAAAGGAGCACAGGGGAAAGGACTGACTCCAAAGATACAAACCCATGTCCCTGCAACTTCTTTTACCTGGTTGTTGCAGTTCCCAATAATCAGTGCATCTGCAAGAGCAAGTTGTCCCACTATCATTCCCTGCTCCAGCAATGGAGCTCCTGTTTCAGAAAGCCTGTTAGAGGTGATTACAATGGTGTTGTCATCATTTAAAACCATGACAGGGTCTGCCTACAAAAAGCAATCAGAATAAATCAGGAATTCAAGCAAACATACAGATTTGCAGTCAGAGAGAAGTCCAAAGGTCTCGTCACTTGCAGAAAACGTTTCATAATTGAGGCAGATTTTTAAATTGTATTTGGCACAGATGTATTTGTATATTTGTGTGCAGGGCACAGAGCAACACTGTGCCACCTGGAAAGCAACAGCTCCGAGGGACTGCAAGCAAATACACAGTACAACCACATGAAGGCACAGCAAACAGAGAAACAAACCTCCTCCAATGACACAAACTCCACCTCAAGCTTTTCTATACCTGAGGAACCAAATGTCATCAATGACCTCACAAAATTCACACAGAACAAACTAAATGTTCCTGCAGTGCAGACGAATCTTGCACTATTTTAGTTCACTTTCCCTTCCTAGAAATAAACAGCAAAGGAGATGAGCAAAGGATGCTGCTGCCATCCATCATGGCAATATTTAAATAAACACTCCTGTTAGTGACATCTTGTCCAAGAGGAGGAAAGCAGAAGACTGTTTCACTTGATGGCATAAAAAAAAATGTATTTTCCTTTTAACAAACTTCAGAAGGTGGTGACAAGACAACTCTGCTGAGAGCCTCTCAGTAAACTGCCATGCTTACACCATGTTTTCCATCACACACTGCTTCTACATTGCCAGTCATGGAGGACTCCAACAAAGTGCACTGTGAAACACCCTCAAAACATCAGCACGTGGGACTGGCTTCCACAACAACAGAACTGGAGTCGGCAGTTTCTCCAAAATATTGACCATAACTGCTGCATTTTCAATTCCACCATTTCTGAACATCAAGAGCAAAACTAAGGCGACAGAGTGTATCTCAGCCTCAAGCTGCTGTCTCCCACATGTTGTCTGACCACGTCTGACTCCACAAACACTCCAATGGCTGCCACTGTTACAGTCTCCTGAACGCATTTCAGTGACTGGACTGGACAGGAACACTGTCCCTGCACATGCCAGACCTGCTTACCCCAGAGATGGTAACACAGAACACTTCAGTGAACAAGTCAGAAAATTTTGCTTTTAAACTAACAACTAAAAATGGATGGTATTCTCACCTCAATAAATGCTGCCACTTCCTGAAGAACCAGGTTCCACTCCACCTGATCCTCAGTATTAAAACGATGAGTGTAGTCTTCAATTTCATCTGACAGCTCCTGATGTAGAAAGTTCTAAGTCAGACACAGTCACTTCTTAAACTGAGAGCTTAGCAGACAGCCAGCAATGTTACAATTTGGTTAGTTGTGCTGGCCTTTAAGAATAATTATTAAAAAAAAAAAATTAAAATTACTTGAGAACATATGCAGCACATTTATGACTAAGATGCCAGCCAGAATGTGTTCCTTCAGGAGACAGAATGCCAATGCTACCCGGAGTTTTGGCAATGCAAAGTGGCTTTTAAAGTAGGTCCAAATGTAAAGAATATCTGGAGTTTAGTATAACCAGCTCACTCACATAAAGCTATGTCACTGGTTATTCCCATAAGCCATGGACACCAAGGACTCAAATTTCAGCTTACAAGTAACTTCAAATAGGATGATGAAGCACCTGATATGGCTTCTTTAGCTGCTACTAGCAAGTCAAGTCAGCTCAGACACAAGGACAGTAATGCAACCTACACAGAACTGTCTATCAGAAGCTGGTTGCAGCAGGGCTGTCTGAAGGGGCCTGGGCTGCACAGGCTGCCAGGAGAAGCTGCTCCTTTTTGTACTTAAAGGAGATCTCCCCATCTAGGCTGCAGATCCTGGATCATCTTTACTTGATGTTCAAACAATGCTATCAAATCATTTGAGCTTAAAGTGTCATCATTCAATGTCTAAGCCATCAAAGACATTCACTAGGTTGGCTATCAGATATACTAGAAAAGCAACAATCAACATGGTCCTATAGGTGTGTACTTCATGTACAAAGATTTGTGTTTAGAGGCACACAGGGCTTTACTCCCATAGCAGAAGAGAGGCATATGCAGATCCAGGCTCTCCAATTTCATCCTAATATCTACATCATTTAGCAAGGTTTAATTTTGATGGGTCCCTGGAAGGTGCGGAAGTATTCAGGATGTGTTCTAGACATGGGACAGAGTAATAGCAGTTTGAAAGGGAAGAGAAATAAGCTCAGCTTCAAGCCAGGAGACACTGGCTTTCCAAGCAACAGTGTTGTCATGAAGACCTGCTGGGGGAGATTCTACCCATGTCTTAAATCCATTACAGGAATGAAGATGTAATCAGAGTTACCAGATGATCCCCATATTTTCAGATTAATAACCTGCATCTGACTGTTTCTTCTTAAATACCTATATACATTTGTAAAGTTTTTATCTATCCAAGGATTCACATTTTACTGAATCTTTCTATAGCTCTAGCCATATTAATCCTTCCTTCTGTGGCATCCAACAGCACAATCAATTAAATGAAAAAAAATAAAGTTATGCTGCAGCAGAAGCTAACATCATAGATCTAATGAGTGATATTACAACTGAAATAAACTGTACTGTGGACTCCTTAATTAGGAAAAAAGCCCTGAAGAACCAGCAACTTCCCACCCCTTCGCACCTCCATCCTCATTTGAACGTACCTTCACAAGGTCCTTTACAACATCCATTTTGTTGAGCAAGAGACAAACCACTATAAACCTTGCATAGTAACGCAGCTTCTTAACCACCAATTCAGGCCTAAACACAACAACAAAAACATCACAGCCACATCTGAGATTAAAGCAGAACACAGGTATGCAACAGGGGCAAGGGAAAGGAGGAATCTAAGACCAAAGCACAGCTGAACACTCTGCAGAGTTCTAATTTAATTCGTGGGGAGATCAACAGCTACCTGGCTGCTTAGAGGCTTATTTCAATCTGAGTAGAGGGACATAAACTGTACCTCAAAAAAGTCACAGCCTCCCTCCTCCCCACAGTCTCCTCACATGGTAACAGGCATGGGAGCCAGATATAACTGCTGACTCTTCAAGCTGTTTGACAGTTGATGGGCACCATCTGACCCCACTGCACCACACAGCTGGCTCACAGGGCACCCACCTGGGACAACTCACAGATCTGCAAGTCAGCATAGCCCATAATTACTCATTTTCTAAAATCACAGCATCTAGAAACCTGCTTGGTCAACCCTACCTGTCTGAAAAAGCTCAAGCACTCAGACTGGAACGGAGAGATTTTTAAGAGATGAGATCAAGAGGCGTCAGAACAGAGCAGGGAAACCTTCATGTTCCTGTGGCACAGAGGTGCCCTTAGGCATCAGCAAGGCTAGAGACATGCAATCCTTAAACACTTGGCAGGAAACCCTCTAACTCACCTTCTGCATTTATCTTGATTACTTCAGATAACTTCTTCTTTCACTTCACTTTGATTTACTAGGTTTACTAGCTAGTCTGTAAGATCAGGATCCAGAACTGAGGTCTCTACCTGTTGTTATTTGTATCTCTGTTTTGGCAGACAGTATGATCTCTGGACTGCACAAGCCAGCCCTGCTCTGAGTGTGTCTTCCCAGTGTAGTGTAAAGGAAGGTGTCATGCCTCTTGAAGCTTCTGGACCTTGCCCCAGTCAGTTACATGAGGATGTTGTACTGCAGTACTAAATGATGCCCCCCTAAAAAGCCTGATTAGAACCAAACAGGTTCCTCTGCTTCAACCTAACTGACTTGTCTTCCAGCCACAGCATACTGGGTCCCAGCACTGATACTGCTTAGGACTTAAAATAACAAAACTTCGGGGCTAATAGCTTCCTAGCCAGAACCAGATAATAGAATATTCCTCCAGTCACACAGCAAAGCTTTTATTTATACTGATGTTCTTAATCATGGCAGGAGGATTTAAAGAAACTTCCTTCAACAACACTGATGTTTATCCTAGTCATGCTCCTACAGTTTATGGGTATTTGCTGGTTTCATACACTGGTTCATTTGCTGGTTCTCGTCTTAAAAAAACAAAGACATTCATTGAGACATACCTGTCTTCTTTGTTGACTTGGGAGTAGTATGATCTCTGCCTAATGGCTGAATAGAAGGAGAAGGCTTCATTGAGATAGCTGGTTTCTGAAGTGCGCAAGCTGCAGAGCAAGAGTCAGATTAGCTGACTGCTTCAGATAGAAACCCGTGTCCAACCCTCCCTTCCTGCCCCCTCAACCACCTCCTGCTTCAGTGGCAAAACTCCCTCCTCAGGTAACACTGTGTGAAAGCCAGACTCATTCTTTGTGCCTGCTGGGAGGAAAGATTTCAGAGTTTGGATTCCATTTCAGATAGCAATCAAATCTGCCCATCTTGCATCCATCTGTACAGGTGACAGGTTAACTGAAAAGTTTAAAGGAACATTAAGCTCCCAAACTTGTAAACCACACTTTTGTACAGGAGTCAAATGTAGCACACATGGAAGACTTAGAGACACTCTGGGATAGAGGTAAGTCCTCAGGCAGGACCAGTGTGGCTTAAAATGTGGTACTGGATTCATGGGTGCCCTTCTCTGCAGCACCTCACACAGTCCCCAGGGCCTTCTCATCAGGAATGGGCACCATGACTCAGTTGAGAGGTTCATTTCTCCCGACCGAGTACCCAGAGGTTGTCATGGAGCTGCCACTGGCATTGCATTCCCCTACGGAATCATCTTCTGTGCTTACTTACTAATAATGGTAATAGAGCTGCCCAATCTTGGAAGCAATTTCCCCAATTTGCCACCGCTTCAACCCATACCGATTGTCCAATACTTGTCTATTTCACAAGAGAGAAAAGAAAGATTAAAAGACATTCCAGAATTCCTCAGAACATCACACCAGACAAGACAAAGAACCATTGCAGGGCCAAGCTCAGCTCTCACTCCTGGTGTGGCATTCCCAGTAGCAGCTCCTCGCGGAGCCAGCAGCACTGCATGTGAAAACCAGAACAAGGGCCCTTTCTCTTGCATAAGTTTGCAAGAGTGAAAAGTAAGTATGTTCACAAAATACACACACCAAAAGGTCACAGCTTCCCAGGAGAACACTCAGACTACACAGCCAACGAAAGGTGTGAAAGAGCAGAGCCCACACTGCAGCAAGAGCTTCACGCCGCTCCAGATGGGCTCTGCACTGCAGGAGCCACCAGCTCAGCTTCGCCTTGCTAAGATATTAAAGCAACACACATTCAATTAGAGGAAAAGGTTTTGTTAAAAAAAAAAGTCACACTGAAAATGCTGCAACATTTTAATTCATTAGCCTGTGAGCACTACAGGAAGTGACTATTCCCTCCCTTCATGCTTGAATAACCCAGTGAAAGCTCCATCTTAGCTGGGGCCCCTGGGCACACCAGGGACTGGAGCTGCACTTCAGCCCACGCAGCAGCCCCCACCGCGCCCCCTCACCGGTGCTGCTGCTGAAACTTCCAGAGTTTGGTGTAAACATCAAATGTTCGCCCAAAATAGGACTGCCACTGCTTCTGCCCATACTGAGGTAAATCCCTGCAACAGACACAACAAACACAGAGTTAGGGAGTAGATTCCAGTCAGCACAGTGACAGCAGCATCCTTCTGTCCGTGGCAGTGTCACCACCCTTCGGAACCCACATCACGTTCTCTGGAAGAGTAAGAAAAGCAAAGAAAGCAGTATACTACAATTTCCAGAGCAGCCTACTGGTGTATTTCTGTTAACTCCAAGTGCTTTAACAGCACCCCAGGTAGAAAAGGAAATTACAATTCCTTTACTTGTCAGCCAACTGCACTTCACACACAGCTTGAAGGGACCTAGCTTAGTTACTAGATGTAAAATGAATCTGTTATCAGCAATAACTCTTACCAGCCTGGAAAACCATTACAGTACCTGCTGCTGCTATTCCATGAGGATGACAAGGAATCTGAGCAGGATTAAAACAAAAACAAAACAAAAAAATCCCCTCAAACTTGAAACTGGCTGCTTCACTCCTTGGACTGTACTTTGGTGTAGCAAGGGGTAAAAAGGAGTATAGGCATGTACTTCAGGGCACCAACAGCTTCATCCAAATACAGCTTGATGCCAACACATGCAAATTTAAAGCATTTACTGCAATGAATGATTCACCACTTCCTATTTTGTAATAGATGTAAACCCTGTAGCTAAACAAAGGAGGATGCCCAACTACATGCCTAAGGTAAATTGCAGGTTTTTATACAGCAAAAGGTAGTGTTGAATTTAATTAGCACATCCACAAGTCTCAATGTTAAAAAGTGAATACAAACACAAAACAACACTCAAATTGGTAATTACAAAAAAAAAAAAAAAAAAAAGCCCCAAGTTCCCTGGTGCTAACTTGCAGAATGACTGAACTAGTACATTGCCTCATGGAACCCAAGCAGTTGGGCTTTCCAGACCAAGTTGCTTTGGACATTTGAGCAAAGGTCTGACATCAGGAAATGAGAAAACACCCTTCTTCTCTTAAACACCAAGAAGTATAAACATGAAAGAAGAAATAAGCAGGTAACTACTTGCTGCTCAGGTACTGATCCCTCATTGTGAGCTAATGCACCCATCACACCCCACTGCCACCTTCCTTTGTGCACCCCTGTGCCCCAACTGCCCCTTCCTCGCCCAGCCTAAGCACTCCCATCACATCCAGTCCTGCACTGCTTTAGGTGTGAACCCAGGAGAATCAGGGGTGTTTTAAGAGGCCGGTGAGCACAGAGGACTGGTGCTGGGCCCCTGCTGGGTGTCCAGGCGCACGTCTCCCCAGCCTCCTTGCAGCTGGCAGAGCCGCACGAGCCCCGCGCCTCCCCGGGGAACACGGAGAGGTCTCCATGGAAACAGACAGCAGCACTTGGTTCTTTTGATAGCATTCTGACATGGCTGTAATAAAACTTCATTTATGACAATGCATTGCCGTGGTTTCACCACAGATTTCTTGCTCACAAGAGCTGCTGCTCCTGCCATCCATTTGCTGCTTTGTGCTCTGAGCATCACGCGCGTTGCTCCCACGTATCGAGAAAATGGATGCGCAAGCAAGAGGGCATTTAGTGCAGGTTTTTTAATGGGACCAGAGGATCTGCATGATTCCCTGAGAAACAGCCCAAAAGAATACTAAAGACTCGGTTGTGCAGAGCAGATTATTAATACAGCTCCTCGCACTGAAGGTGACAGGGAAGATAGGATCCAGAAGCAATGACACACTCAACTGGAGAGCAAAACACCCGCACTACAGCAAGGCATTTTGCTACCTCCAGATCTACAGAAGGCTACTAGAGCAATATGAAAAGAAAAAGGCAAGAGCCTGCTCTTCTTCCAGAGTCTCCAGGCAGGGACAGGGACAGTCACTCCTGCTGTCACTGTCACAGTCAGCGTTACAGGAGGGAGGAAGTGGCAGCAAGAAGCAGCCCAGATGCAGAGGAGGGAGTGGAGATGCTCTGATTTAGAACAGTTCTGTCCAGACAAGGAAGACAGTTCCACAGTTCACTACAATAGCCTCCAATAACAAGGGGAGACTGTTTCCAATTTCTTGGCTATTGAAACATTCCAAACTGGACATGAAGACACAAACACAGATGTTCTAAAAGGCTGGGTTTCTCACTCTGGGCACAGAAGGCTGGTTCCCTCGCCACACGACAGTGGCTGCTGGATAAATTCCATAGAATTTTATCCAATTCTTGCTGTATAGTCTCAGGAAAGACCAGCACTACTTGATTAATTTTCTGTCAGTAGTTCATTTCAGCTATGCTGTTGGCAGAAGCTTGTTGGCTGCAAACCAAGCAAAGGTGCTGAGGTTTGTTTGGCCATCACCACATGGAAGTTGTCACAGAGGGACAACTTTCAGAGACATAAAGATGTTGAGAACATCCCAGGGACTCAGCAGTACACTTCAAAAAGGAAGATTACACTAACTGTAAGTTTAATACTCAAAGCTTTAAATACATTCACAGTTTTGACAGGTGAGAAAAAAGACAATTTCCTTTTATGTTCATAGGTTTGTAGTAATTACAGGCAGGGCACAGCCTGCAGCACCACCTGAAGCTGACAGGGTCCTGATGTTCCTGAATCATCATCAGCATGGAGCTGCTAAGAGGTTGAACATGCATCTTACTAGAAGTCCACAAAACAAGGTATTAAATCCCATCAACTCCTTCCAGGAAAGGACAGCAGTCATGATTCTTGCAGCCTGCACAATAAGCAACAAGACCTTATAATCTGGGAACATATGTTTGTGGAAAGTGTCTTAATTTCTTCAAGTTTTAAGCTTCTCCATGATACTGAACAGATTTAAGCACTTTTTAACATTAACAAAAAATAGTAACTGGTTAACAGTACACCATGAAAAACAGATTCCTGACATGCTCCCTCTTTCCAGCCTTTTCCCAAGAAAAAAGCCAGTGGGAGTGGGGAAAGGAGAGAAGAGAGCAACTGGAACACACCTCATTAGCAGCTGTTTCTAACTTACAGCTCATGGTGTTCAAAAAGGGAGTACAGAGACTAGAAAGACAACCTCCCCTCTAAGCTATTCTAGCAGGCTTGGCCACCAAAGAATGGCATCGCTGGAAGTGCGAGCATGAAGTGTACTTTGGAGCAGCAACCTTGGCAGATCATCATATGTTTTCCTCAAATGCTGTATTTGGCATCTGTATTGGGAAGAGAGGAAGGAAATGCTACTGAACAAAGACGTGGCAGGCTGAGCCCCTGCATTTTTGGCAGCAGCAATGGCTAAGCAGCTGCCAACATAGCCATAGGCTCCATTCCCTGTAGCTGAAGTGCCCAGAGGAGGTTTCAGGAGGGAAATCACTGCTCTCCTCTCCCTCCATCACTTCTTTTCCATGAAACGTGGTAGGGAGAACAGAATGGCATAAGACACAACAGCAAAGACTATCACTGTCTTCAAAACAGAAGGAAGGCACACACCAAATGCATTTATTATGCTTGAGGGAAAAGGAAGCAACTGGGCTAAGAATTAGGATACTTGCCAAGTCACTTCCAGGTGAGCTACCCAGAAGAGAACAAGCACTAACAGAGAAGACAGAAAATTACAACACTGCTTTATCCAGTCATCATGTCCTTAGGAATCACAGACCTTACATGTGAAATGATGGTTAAGTCCAGTGCAAGAAGCACCTACATCAGTTGTGTCAAGTTCCAGCAAGGCCAGAGGCAGTTCCAATATGTTCCTGTTTTCACAGAGCAGAGCCAGCTGCTGAAGCCCATCTCTCTGTTTTTATTGCCCAAACTTCCTCCAAAGGTATTTTCCATTTTCTTTTTATCTAGCTGGATAACAAGGTTTATTTTTAGCAAAGTACCATGGATACACATGGAAACTACATTGCTCATCTGGAAAACTGACAGAAGTCCTAACTCCCTCCATGCCCAAGAGGAGAGACAGAATAGCTGCACCTCTGCTGCACCTCTGGGATCTGAATTTCACCATCACACATCCAGACATCAACTGTATTAGTTTGCACTCTCCAATGACTTGGGCCAAAATTTCAAGCAAGCTGTATCAGAAAGCCAATGTAAAGGCATATATGGTTCTGGAAATCCTGGCCTCAAGAGCTCAGCCCTTTTGCTGTAAACTCTTTTTCATGGGGTGTTGAACACAATCACCGAGAACCCCTTGCCTCTCCTGCCCATTTACCATTCAGATATTGGAGCACAAACTGTTTGTTTTGGATTTGGTAATCAACTTCTAAAGCACATGAAAGGATTATCAATAGCAAGGGGCAGGGGGGGAGGAATTAAAACCATCTTTGCTAACCATCTGTGTTTGAGTAACAGCAGCTATATGGGCCCAAACATACAGTATTACTCAGAGATCAGTAAGAGCCTGAACTGCCAACAAGATACGAGCTGAAAACCATGTTGCTTAAGAGACTCTACAGCAAAGCTCAGAAATGGAACAGCTCATGAATACATCATCTTTAACTCAGCAGATATTGACACAAACAGGATGCCTGTATCACTGTCCAAACACCAACTATTTTCCTTGAGCTCCCCTTTTTCTTATTCACATCCTTATTGGCATTGACGGAACAGCTGGGCTTTCTAGCTATTACTGCACATGTTTTGTAGATAAAAGTAGATTTTACCTTTCTCCACAGCTCAGATCAAACATTTTGTTTCACCAGACACATACAGGCTATGGTTTGGATGTTTCTCTTTATCTCTTCCTAAATTTCTTCCCAAAAAGTATTCCCTCCTCCCCTTTCCTCACACCTAGGCCAATCCTTATCTGGGTTTTTTTGGTACAGAGACTGTGGGGTTGGATCTGCAGGCTGCCAACTGCAGGCAGCCACACCAATCATTAGGGTGCACTTCATACAAACACTTCAGAATGCATCCTATTCTTTTCACAGAATTTCCAACTTCCAGCTTACTGTGTACTGATGTGACCAAGACATTCAGCTCACCTCTCTCACATTTTCATGCCTGCTGTCTCACCAGAAACGTGTGAACCTCTACTTCTACACACAATCTTACACACAAGGTCTGAAACTGCTCATACAAGGGTGCACATTGTTCTCTCCTAAACAAACTTAATGAGTTTGAGCCCAAAATGTTCATTGTACAACTAACTTCAGCCTCACTCACACTACAGTGTATGTTCCAATGTTTTCCTGAAGGAACACTGTCAAAAATCCACTAACCTTAAGCCATTGAAGAGCTGTTTAGATTTATCCAGTAAGTAGCAAAAGTCTGTCACTGTTTTCCTCTCTGCTTGAGGAATATCATCTTCAGCTCCTCCTGATGACATGATTTCTTTTAGGGCAAATTCAGTTCTATGAAGAAGAAAACAGCCATATTACTCAAAATGGAGACTATTATGAGCTCATCCAGATTAGATGCACTTACAGTTCCATGGGGATGTGAACAAAGAACATGCAATCTCCCACAGGTTACTTGTCTCAAGACTCATTATAACTAACATCTGAGAATCAAAGCATGGGAATTATTATTGCACAATGCACTAGTTAACAGAGCAAAATTTAAAATAAGTGATACAAGAGTCATAAAATAAAACAACTCTGAGGACTGTATTCACAAACACAGAACTGCCAACCAAAGGACTGTAACACAATACTTGGGTTTCACAATTGGACAAAGAAATCTTCTCTCAATTTGCCTTTCTGCAGAGGTGTTTATCCTGCAGCTGTATTTGGAGAGACCAGCCTCACTTCTGTTCACATTTCATTTCCTTCTGCAGAAAACTGTAGCTCAGTAGTTCATATTGCTAAAACATAGCCATTTTAGACAGAAAGCTAAAAATTCTCCTGCTTTCTCTCTACTTCCTCATGACTGTTTAATTCCATGGTTTGTGCTGCCCACAATTATACCTGCAGATCTATTTTTAATGTTCACATGAACAGAACGTCATTTTGTACAGTAATGACTGAACAAAAAACTTAGATATAACAGATAAACCTAGTCTTGAGTAAGTAAGGGAATATGAAAGCCTATAAAGGCAGAGTGGCTTTTAAAATCCTACTTGTAACAAACATAGTTATAAAATTTTGGTTATCCAAAGGTGAGCTACAGATTTCTCAGCAGCAGCAGCAACAAAACATGCTTCTCTGAAAATGGCTGCCAGGTCTGTGGCTCTTCTGTGCTAAGAATTTTAGCGCAAGATAAACATACCTCTAACTGGACAAATGCAGAGCTTTTATATTCAGCAACTTCTCCACTGGCTCTGGTAAGCACTTTTGTTAAGCAACAAGTTTCCATTTGTGCAGAAGCTCTGTTTGGATGCTATTTGCATAAATAATTACCCACAAGCCCCAATTCAAGCCAGGAAATGGCAAAGGAAAGAACCCAGAAGCATCTTTTGTCAATTGTCAGGAAAAACCTTCATAATAACCAAACAGACTTTAGAAATACTTCCCTGAACAAATATTTCATGCCTACCAAATGCAGAAGAAATTGATAGTTGCCCCCAGCTTTTGGGGAGAAGTTAGTGGGCACATCCTGCCAACCCAGCAGTCCCAGATCTCCCAGTTTAGGCAAGGTGCAGCACACTTCCACTGCCTGTTACACACTCATCTGACAGTGCAGTAGGGCACTAATGGAAGGCCATGGTGAGCACTGCACAGACCACTGACTGAGGAGTTCCAGAAAAAGCTAGGAAGCATCTACTTTTTGTCAGGTAACTGCAATATGGGTGCCAGACAGTAAAAGTAAGTTCAAAACACACCAACCAGATGTCAAAAGCTGGTGGCATGAACCTGGCAAGCAGGACACCAGTACTGTGAAGGAGCAGCCTGTGTCTGAAATCTCCCAACATCTACATTCACACAGTGTGGAACACACAACACCACCAACGTATGAAATAATAGTGAACACAGAGCTAAAAAATGGATGTCAGAAGCAGCCAGAAGGTGACTGAGGAATGTGAAGGAAGAGGGACAGTACCCCAGGTCCCGTGTGTTTTGCAGCAAGGGTGACCTAAATCCTGCAGCGAGGCCCCTGGGCTGGGCAGTGCTCCCCCACGGCACCAGGCACTCTGCAGCACCTTCAGATACATTTGCACACATTCAGGAGCTTGCTTGGATTGCAAAGTGTGTTTCACAGTCTGTACATCATGCCTTTCATTTAATGGTAAAGTCAATTTCATTCTCTGCTACCCTTGAGTTACGCTACCCAGCCACCCCAAGTGCCATGACCCACAGTTTACATCACCTAGGCAGATGATGACCACAAGTGTGGGATGCTCCCCGTGTTCCAGGGAAGGGCATCATCCTGGCACAGCCAGCAGCACAAAGATGGTGAGAAACAGGATAGGACAAAGAAAACCTAGCTGGTAACAGAATTCACACTGTAAAGCACCATCACTGCCTGTGGCCAGAGCAGTGGCTTAAAGCAAAGGTATGTACTGATGTCATGAAGGTGCTGCAGCTCCTGCTGGGGTGGGCTGGGGAGGTGGTCACTACAAGGAGGCCAGCAGGAAGAAGAAAGGAAATCTGTTGCAAATGGCAAAATTTTCACTGATCTTCTGCTAAAACATCTAAGTTTGTTCAGTATTTTAATTTCCATTCAAACCAACACTCAGAAACAGAAGATAGAAACAGACCAAAATACAGCTATTAGCAGTCAACTAAAAAAACCTCACTAAGGTAGTTGCTGCCATGAAAACATCCCTACCACTCCAACCTTCCAAGTATGCCTTCTACCTGGCTGGATTCCCATATGTATTTCATATGACATAAAAGAAAGACTTGATATTAGTTCCAGAATAAAACACTCAGTGCATACTTTCATCAGCATGCTTTGATTTACACATTTAATGCTTATTCTAAAGAAGGCTTTGAACAGAACTCTCTACAAAGAACTTGAAAAACTGCCCTGTATCATCTTCTGTAAAAACTACATTTGCCAACTTTTCAGACATGCTTAACCAAACTTTATTGTTTGACAAACGTTTTGATGGTACCCCTCTCATGCACCTACACAGCAAGACAGAGGCAGAAATTAATCTCATTTTCTACTGACACTTTTAGAAGGAGGGAAGTGACCAGAAGACACTTGATCTAACACATCACAATGAATGGAGAAGACTCTGGGTGCTTATGAAAATCTGTTCCATTAGTACATAATAAATTAAACACAGAAGCCTCAACAAGCCCTCTTTGTTTCTGGGTTGTTTTATAATAAAACAGCTACATCACAGTTAAAAGTAGAATGAAATGAAACCTTAGTTACCCACACAATTATGAAACTCTCTATGTTCCTAACGACCCAAAGATGCAAGCACAATTGCCTGTGGGACAGAGCAGACACAACAGACATAGCACCTCTGGGATGACAGAACAGTCCGCTTCAAACAATCCACTTTGGACAGTAACAATGGATGAGCTCAAGTTTCAGTCTCTTGCAGGATAATTAAAGGCATGTTCTGGCCCTGCCTCACTCTGCACTCAGGAAACAGGAGTACTTCTAAACCAGCCAGTGTATATGGTATAGTGCAAAGTCCTACTGAAAATCCTTGTTATGCTTTGAGAGCACAATTCCTGCTCAGAATGGACTGGTTTCTTACTCACTGTGTGTCAATGTCAACTTCATGACAATTATAGAATAACACCATCTAGAAAATACGTTATAAAAATATTCAGATTTAATCACATGGTGGGCAAATAAGAGTCTTCCTTCTAGGAAAAAATAACCAGGAAAAGAAAAAAGGGATTCAACCAAGAAAGAAATAAAAGCAGTAAAGAATTAAGCAGAGTAGTAATATGCATGACAATTTCCCCCGTGAGACATCTTTAGAAAAGCTGGCAGAAAGTAACTCTTCTGCAGATCCTAAATTTAAAGCAGCATTTTGGTTACAGACACAAGTCTGGTGTCACTCAGCCACACAGCACATGCCTGAATATGAAGGAAAGATGGGAAGGGAAGATGGAATAAAAAAGGACAACAGGAGCTGTTAAATGACAGGTGAAGCTGGCTCTTCCAACGGACAGAGAAGGAAAACAAAATTAGGTATCTCATGCATGGTTTTGGCTCATCATGCTCCAGAGGGCATGATATTTGGTGTTGAACAAAGAAAGAACTACTATCACAAGCAGCTTGGGAAAGGAGGAGGTCTTCCCTGCACTAAGGACTGTGTTGTAATGCAGCAGCATTACAGACAGGAGAAAGAATTATTATTAGAAACAGCAAGTGGGCACAGCAAAGGGAGGAATATAGCTACTGACATCGCCCTTTCCTCAGGGGCTGCCGAGCTCCAAATGAAAAATATAAATAAAATGCAACCAGTTCATATCCACAATGGGGACCTCTTCTCTTTGATACTAGAAGCAACCCCACAGCTCTGCGCTCCTCTTCTGCAAAAACAATTCTCCTAGTTCTGACATCCCAGCTACACCAGAAATACCACCTACTTAATTTTTTTTCTTGTGTTTGACACTTTTTTCTTTATGTCCTGCAAAAGAAGCTGTTGGGCTGTTGTGCATGACTTGTTTTTTTTCTTTTTTTCTCAAGCAGCACACATTAAAAACATGATCTCCAGAGTCTGCAAAAGGAGACACTGAAATATTGACATGAAAGACTGTTAAAACAAGTCAGAAAATGGTGAATTCCGGCAGAACTTCTTATTCTCTCAAAGATTTTGCCAAGTCCTCAGGCCATATGAGGCAGAAAAACTGTGCTAGCCAAGTACTGCATTTCGCCTGCCAGGTTCTTTCCAGCACACACTCAGAACACACAATTCCAGGTTTCCCTAGGACAATACATTAATGGATTTTACACATTTATCCCACTGCAGCACCCAGGACAGAGGAGCTTACAGGCACCCAGAGGGATGGCAAGACTATGGAAAGCAGCTGGAGCTGAAAGGCAGGAGGGGTATGGGAAACAGATGAAGGTTTCATGCTGCTAGCCATTATTTTTAAAGTTATGTGTCACTTACATTACAAACCTTTCCACTTTCCTGTGGTTTGCTGTCTTTTGGCTAAGGTTTTCCAGGCTCAGCTAGAAGGGAAGAAGAGTGCTGAACTCAACAGTGTGCACTCCACACCAACCCTGCTCCGGGACTCAGGCCTGCAAAGCAAGGGTGAACAGTGCAGGAACACTCTGGTGCAAGGACATCAAGCTGACAGTAAAGTCAATCACAGACATGGTAAGTAACTGTCTGACATGCACATCTCCTTAGCCAGATTTATTACTTAACCATTACTATGACCCACCACTCAGCTGCCTGGTAGAAGAGGGTGATCGGAACTTTACACGTGACACTGGCAAGGAAAGGTGCTGAACACAAGCAGG